CTTAATGGTTTTCTTCCACACACTCTTTTATCCTTCCGACTTGCCTTTTCTACTTATTTCATCTTTTTCATTTTTCAGTCGGTACTTCCTTACAATAGATTAGTTGACATATCCATCACGCAAGACAGCTTTCCTGTCATACTCCATCATGTAGAATGATTTTCCTATCATACTCCAAACACGATGGGTTTCAGGTCATACTCTATATACTGGCACAGGAATGACATGTGTAAACTACTTTACATAAAACCACTTGTTATGGAAAGCATTTCGGGAAGTCGTTAAATAAACTAATAATAATTGTACAGTAAGGATAGTTTACTAGAATGCTATGATTTACAATATGTGACAGTGTATATACTAACAATTTATTATCACCGACTCCTGATAACAAGTTGTTACAACATATCTGGAGTTTACCTGGAGAGAGTTCCGGGGGTCAACGCCCCCGCGGCCCGGTCTGTGACCAGGCCTCCTGGTGGATCAGAGCCTGATCAACCAGGCTGTTGCTGCTGGCTGCACGCAAACCAACGTACGAGCCACAGCCCGGCTGGTCAGGAACAGACTTTAGGTGCTTGTCCAGTGCCAGCTTGAAGACTGCCAGGGGTCTGTTGGTAATCCCCCTTATGTATGCTGGGAGGCAGTTGAACAGTCTCGGGCCCCTGACACTTACTGTATGGTCTCTTAACGTGCTAGTGACACCCCTGCTTTTCATTGGGGGGATGTTGCATCGTCTGCCAAGTCTTTTGCTCTCGTAGTGAGTGATTTTCGTGTGCAAGTTCGGTACTAGTCCCTCTAGGATTTTCCAGGTGTATATAATCATGTATCTCTCCCGCCTGCGTTCCAGGGAATACAGGTTTAGGAACCTCAAGCGCTCCCAGTAATTGAGGTGTTTTATCTCCGTTATGCGCGCCGTGAAGGTTCTCTGTACATTTTCTAGGTCAGCAATTTCACCTGCCTTGAAAGGTGCTGTTAGTGTGCAGCAATATTCCAGCCTAGATAGAACAAGTGACCTGAAGAGTGTCATCATGGGCTCGGCCTCCCTAGTTATGAAGGTTCTCATTATCCATCCTGTCATTTTTCTAGCAGATGCGATTGATACAATGTTATGGTCCTTGAAGGTGAGATCCTCTGACATGATCACTCCCAGGTCTTTGACGTTGGTGCTTCGTTCTATTTTGTGGCCAGAATTTGTTTTGTACTCTGATGAAGATTTAATTTCCTCGTGTTTACCATATCTGAATAATTGAAATTTCTCATCGTTGAACTTCATATTGTTTTTTGCAGCCCACTGAAAGATTTGGTTGATGTCCGCCTGGAGCCTTGCAGTGTCTGCAATGGAAGACACTGTCATGCAGATTCGGGTGTCATCTGCAAAGGAAGACACGGTGCTGTGGCTGACATCCTTGTCTATGTCGGATATGAGGATGAGGAACAAGATGGGAGCGAGTACTGTGCCTTGTGGAACAGAGATTTCCACCGTAGCTGCCTCGGACTTTACTCTGTTGACGACTACTCTCTGTGTTCTGTTAGTGAGGAAATTATAGATCCATCGACCAAACTTTTCCTGTTATTCCTTTAGCACGCATTTTGTGCGCTATTACGCCATGGTCACACTTGTCGAAGGCTTTTGCAAAGTCTGTATATATTACATCTGCATTCTTTTTGTCTTCTAGTGCATCTAGGACCTTGTCGTGTGATCCAATAGTTGAGACAGACAGGAGCGACCTGTTCTAAACCCATGTTGCCCTGGGTTGTGTAATTGATGGGTTTCTAGATGGGTGGTGATCTTGTTTCTTAGGACCCTTTCAAAGATTTTTATGATATGGGATGTTAGTGCTATCGGTCTGTAGTTCTTTGCTATTGCTTTACTGCCCCCTTTGTGGAGTGGGGCTATGTCTGTTGTTTTTAGTAGCTGTGGGACGACCCCCGTGTCCATGCTCCCTCTCCATAAGATGGTAAAAGCTCGCGATAGGGGCTTCTTGCAGTTCTTGATGAACACGGAGTTCCATGAGTCTGGCCCTGGGGCAGAGTGCATGGGCATGTCATTTATCGCCTGTTCGAAGTCATTTGGCGTCAGGATAACATCAGATAGGCTTGTGTTAACCAAATTCTGTGGCTCTCTCATAAAAAATTAATTTTGATCTTCGACTCTCAGTCTGGTTAGCGGCTTGCTAAAAACTGAGTCATATTGGAACTTGAGTAGCTCACTCATTTCCTTGCTGTCATCTGTGTAGGACCCATCTTGTTTAAGTAGGGGCCCAATACTGGACGGGAGAGATACATGATTATATACACCTGGAAAATCCTAGAGGGACTAGTACCGAACTTGCACACGAAAATCACTCACTACGAAAGCAAAAGACTTGGCAGACGATGCACCATCCCCCAATGAAAAGCAGGGGTGCCACTAGCACGTTAAGAGATCATACAATAAGTGTCAGGGGCTCGAGACTGTTCAACTGCCTCCCAGCACACATAAGGGGGATTACCAACAGACCCCTGGCAGTCTTCAAGCTGGCACTGGACAAGCACCTAAAGTCAGTTCCTGATCAGCCGGGCTGTGGCTCGTACGTTGGTTTGCGTGCAGCCAGCAGCAACAGCCTGGTTGATCAGGCTCTGATCCACCAGGAGGCCTGGTCACAGACCGGGCCGCGGGGGCGTTGACCCCCGGAACTCTCTCCAGGTAAACTCCAGGTATAGGAGAAGAAGTACTTTGGGTTTCTTTCGATTTCATTTATGGCTTTTAGTTCTTCCCGCGATTCCTGACTCCTATAAGATTCCTTTAGCTTAAGTTCGATGCTTGCTATTTCTATGACCAGTGACTCCCTACGCATTTCAGATATATTGACCTCTTTTAGCCGCTCTGTTATTTTTTTCCGTCGCCTGTAAAGGGAGCGCCTGGGACCCCACACTCTTCCTTACACCCACCCTGGGACCCCACACTCTCCCTTACACCCACCCTGGGACCCCACACTCTCCCTTACACCCACCCTGGGACCCCACACTCTCCCTTACACCCACCCTGGGACCCCACATTCTCCCTTACACCCACCCTGGGACCCCACACTCTCCCTTACACCCACCCTGGAATCCCACACTCTCCCCTTTCACCCCCCCCTGGGACCCCAACTCTCCCTTACACCCACCCTGGAACCCCACAAATCTCCATTACACCCACCCTGGAAAACCCACACCCCTCCCTTACACCCACCCCGGGACCCCACACTCTCCATTACACCCACCTGGAACCCCACACTCTTCCTTACACCCACCCTGGAACCCACACTCTTCCTTACACCACCTGGGACCCCATACCTCCCTTACACCCCCCCTGGGACCCCACACTCTCCCTTACACCCACCCTGGAATCCCACACTCCCCTTACACCCACCCTGGGACCCCACACTCTCCCTTACACCCACCCTGGAACCCCACACTCTCCCTTACACCCACCCTGGAATAAGTAAGTAAGTAAGTAAGTAAGTTTATTCAGGTATACACAAATACAGTTACATAAAATTATCATACATAGCAGCATATGTGTAGAGAACCTAGGATAACCCAAAAAATTCAGTCAGAGTGACTTACTTACTTACTTACTTACTTACTTATTTCCATTGGGGTCCTTTTACCTTATTATTATAATATAAAGGTTATAATATTTTCTTATTATTCTACAATGAAGATAACATCTTATTATCATACTAAAAAGACTATCTACTACACCAAGGTCATTAAGACTATCTACAATACGAGGGTCATTACTAGGAATAGGGTAAAATTTACACGTATGTTAGCTAAAAAATAGAAAATCATTCCCCTCCCTTTCTGTAGCTACATTCATCAGACACCTTTTGGCACTCTTCTTGAACTGGTTCATGCTATGACTGGCTTTGACATGTGCGGGCAGTCTGTTTCATTCCTTTATTGCTGTACAATAAAAGGTGTTTGAAGCCTGGCCACTGACTGTGGGTACTACAAAGTTGTGCTCTCTCCCCCTAGTACTATGATTGCTTTGGTTCCCAACATTGATAAAATTGACAGCAAGATATTCTGGACATTGTTTGTGAGCAATTTTATAAACATGATTTAGCTTCAGTTGTTTTACTCTGTCTTCAACATTCAGCATATCCCACACTCTCCCTTACACCCACCCTGGGACCCCACACTCTCCCTTACACCCACCCTGGGACCCCATACTCTCCTTACACCCACCCTGGGACCCATACTCTCCCTTACACCCACCCGGGGACCCCACACTCTCCCTTACACCCACCCTGGGACCCCATACTCTTCCTTACACCCACCCTGGGACCCACATTTTCCCTTACACCCACCCTGGAACCCCACACTCTCCCTTACACCCACCCTGGGACCCCATACTCTCCCTTACACCCACCCTGGGACCCCATACTCTCCCTTACACCCACCCTGGGACCCCACACTCTCCCTTACACCCACCCTGGGCCCCCATACTCTCCCTTACACCCACCCTGGGACCCCACACTCTCCCTTACACCCACCCTGGAACCCCATACTCTCCCTTACACCCACCCTGGGACCCCATACTCTCCCTTACACCCACCCTGGGACCCCACACTCTCCCTTACACCCACCCTGGAACCCCATACTCTCCCTTACACCCACCCTGGGACCCATACTCTCCCTTACACCCACCCTGGGACCCCACACTCTCCCTTACACCCACCCTGGGACCCCACACTCTCTCTTACACCCACCCTGGAACCCCATACTCTCCTTACACCCACCCTGGGACCCCATACTCTCCCTTACACCCACCCTGGAACCCCACACTCTCCCCTTACACCCACCCTGGAACCCCACACTCTCCCTTACACCCACCCTGGAACCCCACACTCTCCCTTACACCCACCCTGGAACCCCACACTCTCCCTTACACCCACCCTGGAACCCCACACTCTCCCTTACACCCACCCTGGAACCCCACACTCTCCCTTACACCCACCCTGGAACTCCACACTCTCCCTTACACCCACCCTGGAACTCCACACTCTCCCTTACACCCAACACAAACAACGGGAACGACTGTCCTCTAGGGGTGTGGTGGAGTATTTTGCTTTATTTCGCAAACCTGCGGAATAATTATGCCTATCACAAGTGACGATAGGTGAAGTGAGTATACTTTTGCAATTATCTGTTGCTGTTTTTCTGTGAATAAAATGTAATCCATGGTGTTCACGTGACTGTGGGCGAGGCTTAAAGGAAGATAACTCAAGGTGGACCATTAAATTTGTTTGCAGTTTATTTACGCGAGCCAAAGATATTACAGTAAATGGAAGTATTTTGTGTTCAGAATTGAATCCTATTTGCATATAGACATAGCTATTGGAAAGTTACATATGTTACGGTGAAAGTAAGCATTATCAACAATTTTGAGGGAGTATGACCTAAATTTCATGCATGATAGTGTTATAAATAAGAAATAATATTTTATTTTCCAATAAGATATATTTGTGTCAAAGAGATTGATTTACATTAGTTATCTCTTATGTGAGAAAGCCCTTAGTTAGACAAGGCAGTTTTTATATATTGCATTCATAAATTTTTTTATAGTGGCCTTGAAGGCATAAATGGGCACTAAATAGTACATTCTGAGTAAGTTTATTTAGGTACGTGTACATATAAGTACAGTTGCAAAAAATTATTGACTATAGTTATCATACATAGTGACATATGTGTAAATTACTTATAATAATCCCCCCCAAAAAAAAGTCAGATGAAATAAGAGAAATAATTTGGCTTGGGTTATCCTAACTTCAGTTTTATATGATTTAGTATTTTAAACCATTGTAAAAGTATAAATAAATATTAAGCCATTGTTGCACATTTTCAAAGGGGTTCTAGGAATTTTTGTCATAGCACTGCTAAATGTCATACTATAAATGAATGGTTATTATTGAATGTTGCTCCTTGATGTATTCAGTGATAAATAACAGCTTAAAATGTCCAGTATTAAGTGAGTTGTGCTTTGGAGATACAGTTTTGTGCAAATGGGGAAAATTTGATGTAACCTAACATAACAGAGCCTTGTATAACCGAATATAACATATCTTAACCTAATAAGAAATTATTCTATTGTTGGCACTCTATTACTACTTAGAGGAGTGATGAATGCACTGAAAGAGAGCTCAATAAGTGTTAAGTAACCATGACTCTTCAACACCTTCCTTTCATGCATAAAGGGGATTACCAGCAAACTCTTAATTGCCTTCAAGAGGGAAAGTGACAGATTCCTCAAAACAGTACCTGATTAACCAGCTTGTGGTGCATATGTTGGCAGCAGGCACCAACAGCTTTCATCGATTCAGGCCAGTAGCCAAGATGCCTGGTCTGGAACCAGGCCAAGGGGGCAGTGACCTCTGGGAGTGATTCCAGGTAAACTCCAGGAAAATTCATGGCCCAGACTTGAATTTGGTCTCAACAGTACTCTTGGTCACTAGGACAAGTCCAAACATATTTACTTAAAATTAACAGTTTAAAAATTAAAAAAAAAAAAGTTCAGCTGAGGTACTGAGAGATGATGAGAGTAAGACATGTGCAACATATGGGTACTTATGTAGACGAACAGCCATCCATGTGGCTTTATCAATACAAATTCTAGGACAGTAGAACTATGTACAGAAGTGAGTAATCAGTCCCTACCTAGGAGTGTGCGAACAGCACCTGTCGTGGAGATTCTGAGCAGAAGAAAGAATCCTGGCGCTTATATAGTAACGTCAGGTGAAGCAGACGAGGGCAAATTCGTCTGCTTCACCTGACGTTACTATATAAGCGCCAGGATTCTTTCTTCTGCTTCAGAATTTCCACGACTATGGTGCTGTTCGCACCTACTCCTAGGTTGAGGGACTGATTACCTCATCTTCTGTACATAGTTCTACTGTCCTAGAATTTGTATTGATAAAGCCACTGGATGGCGAAACGTCTACAATAAAGATACCCAGATGTTGCACATGTGTCTTACTCTCATCTTGTCGGTATTATATACCATTCGTACGTACTGGAGAGCTATAAAAAATGAAGGACCTAGAAACACTATGGGAAGTGGGCTAGTCTAGAAAAGTATCTGAGATATAAACAAGCCAGAAATGAATATGCAAAGGAAAGGATTGACGGAGAAAAAATACTGAAAAGTAAATATAGTAGACAAGATGGAACTAAATTTTTGTAACGTTTTTAAAAAATGTAAACTAAATGTTAAAGGTAAGATGCAAAGAATTAAGAATAATGGCAAAATCACTGAAAGAAGAAAGAAATGAAAGAGATACCTGGAGTTTACCTGGAGAGAGTTTCGGGGGTCAACGCCCCCGCGGCCCGGTCTGTGACCAGGCCTCCTGGTGGATCAGCGCCTGATCAACCAGGCTGTTGCTGCTGGCTGCACGCAAACCAAGTACGAGCCACAGCCCGGCTGATCAGGAACTGACTTTAGGTGCTTGTCCAGTGCCAGCTTGAAGACTGCCAGGGGTCTGTTGGTAATCCCCCTTATGTGTGCTGGGAGGCAGTTGAACAGTCTCGGGCCCCTGACACTTATTGTATGGTCTCTTAACGTGCTAGTGACACCCCTGCTTTTCATTGGGGGGATGGTGCATCGTCTGCCAAGTCTTTTGCTTTCGTAGTGAGTGATTTTCGTGTGCAAGTTCGGTACTAGTCCCTCTAGGATTTTCCAGGTGTATATAATCATGTATCTCTCCCTCCTGCGTTCCAGGAATACAGGTTTAAAAAACTCAAGCGCTCCCAGTAATTGAGGTGTTTTATCTCCGTTATGCGCGCCGTGAAAGTTCTCTGTACATTTTCTAGGTCGGCAATTTCACCTGCCTTGAAAGGTGCTGTTAGAGTGCAGCAATATTCCAGCCTAGATAGAACAAGTGACCTGAAGAGTGTCATCATGGCTTGGCCTCCCTAGTTTTGAAGGTTCTCATTATCCATCCTGTCATTTTTTCTGCAGATGCGATTGATACAATGTTATGGTCCTTGAAGGTGAGATCCTCCGACATAATCACTCCCAGGTTTTGACGTGGTGTTTCGCTCTATTTTGTGGCCAGAATTTGTTTTGTACTCTGATGAAGATTTAATTTCCTCATGTTTACCATATCTGAGTAATTGAAATTTCTCATCGTTGAACTTCATATTGTTTTCTGCAGCCCACTGAAAGATTTGGTTGATGTCCGCCTGGAGCCTTGCAGTGTCTGCAATGGAAGACACTGTCATGCAGATTCGGGTGTCATCTGCAAAGGAAGACACGGTGCTGTGGCTGACATCCTTGTCTATGTCGGATATGAGGATGAGGAACGAGATGGGAGCTAGTACTGTGCCTTGTGGAACAGAGCTTTTCACCGTAGCTGCCTCGGACTTTACTCTGTTGACGACTACTCTCTGTGTTCTGTTAGTGAGGAAATTATAGATCCATCGACCAGACTTTTCCTGTTATTCCTTTAGCGCGCATTTTGTGCGCTATTACGCCATGGTCACACGTTGTCGAAGGCTTTTGCAAAGTCTGTATATATTACATCTGCATTCTTTTTGTCTTCTAGTGCATTTAGGACCTTGTCGTAGTGATCCAGTAGTTTGAGACAGACAGGAGCGACCTGTTCTAAACCATGTTGCCCTGGGTTGTGTAACTGATGGGTTTCTAGTGGGTGGTGATCTTGCTTCTTAGGACCTTTCAAAGATTTTATGATATGGGATGTTAGTGCATTGGTCTGTAGTTCTTTGCTGTTGCTTTACTGCCCCCTTTGTGGAGTGGGGCTATGTCTGTTGTTTTTTAGTAACTGAGGGCGACCCCCGTGTCCATGCTCCCTCTCCATAGGATGGAAAAGGCTCGTGATAGGGGCTTCTTGCAGTTCTTGATGAACACAGAGTTCCATGAGTCTGGCCCTGGGGCAGACTGCATGGGCATGTCATTTATCGCCTGTTCGAAGTCATTTGGCGTCAGGATAACATCGGATAGGCTTGTGTTAATCAAATTTTGTGCTCTCTCATAAAAAATTCATTTTGATCTTCGACTCTCATTCTGGTTAGCGGCTTGCTAAAAACTGAGTCATATTGGGACTTGAGTAGCTCACTCATTTCCTTGTTGTCATCTGTGTAGGACCCATCTTGTTAAGTAGGGGCCCAATACTGGACGTTGTTCTCGATTTTGATTTGGCATAGGAGAAGAAATACTTTGGGTTTCTTTCGATTTCATTTATGGCTTTTAGTTCTTCCCGCGATTCCTGACTCCTAAGGATTCTTTTAGCTTAAGTTCGATGCTTGCTATTTCTCTGACCAGTGTCTCCCTGCGCATTTCAGATATATTGACCTCTTTTAGCCGCTCTGTTATTCTTTTCCGTCGCCTGTAAAGGGAGCGCCTGTCTCTTTCTATTTTACATCTACTCCTCCTTTTTCTTAGAGGAATAAGCCTTGTGCATACATCGAGTGCCACCGAGTTAATCTGTTCTAGGCATAAGTTTGGGTCTGTGTTGCTTAGTATATCTTCCCAGCTTATATCGGTTAGGACTTGGTTTACTTGGTCCCACTTTATGTTTTTGTTATTGAAGTTGAATTTGGTGAATGCTCCCTCGTGACTAGTCTCATTATGTCGGTCTGGGGCTCCACGCATACATGTCTGAACCTCAATTATGTTGTGATCTGAGTATATTGTTTTTGATATGGTGACATTTCTTATCAGATCATCATTGTTAGTGAAGATGAGGTCTAGTGTATTCTCCAGTCTAGTAGGCTCTATTATTTGCTGGTTTAAATTGAATTTTGTGCAGAGATTTAAAAGCTCGTGTGAGTGTGAGTTTTCATCAGAGCTGCCTCCTGGTGTTATTACTGCAACAATATTATTTGCTATATTCCTCCATTTTAGGTGCCTTAAGTTGAAATCCCCCAGGAGCAAGATGTTGGGTGCAGGAGCTGGAAGATTTTCCAGACAGTGGTCAATTTTTAACAGCTGTTCCTGGAATTGCTGGGATGTTGCATCCGGAGGCTTGTAGCTACCACAATGACTAGGTTTTGGTTCCGACCTTTACTGCTAAAACTTCCACTACGTCATTTGAGGCATTAAGCAGTTCTGTGCAAACAAGTGACTCTGCAATGTACAGGCCAACCCCCCCCTTTTGCCTGTTCACTCTGTCACATCTGTATAGGTTGTAACCTGGGATCCATATTTCGTTGTCCAAGTGATCCTTTATGTGGGTCTCAGTGAAAGCCGCGAACATTGCCTTTGCCTCTGCAAGCAGTCCACGGATGAAAGGTATTTTGTTGTTTGTTGCTGGCTTTAGACCCTGTATATTTGCAAAGAAGAATGTTATCGGACTGGTGGTAACAAAAAGTTTCAGAATGTTTACGAAAGAACACATTTTATGCAGCTGATGTAAAACCCAAACAATAATTGAGTTAGAAGATATTTAGATACATAACTAAAGAAATTTTTACCAGACATTGAGGGAAAAAAACAAGAGGGCCAGATAAGATAGCACATGGGCTTCAAAAGAATGTGCAGAGCTGATCTGTCCACTTGGGAAAATTTTTAAGGTTTCACTTCAGGCAGGAAAATTGGCAAAGAAATGGAAGATGGCACAGTGTCAATATTTAAAAAAGAAAAAGGTGACAAGGAAGACCCTTAAAACTGTTGGCCAGTTTTGTTGGCAAGTGTTGTAAAAATATTCTAAAAGGCCATTTGAGTAAAGTAGATAAAACACTTAGAGGAAAACAGTCTACTGACCAGTAAACAATTTGGAAATTCCTCTACATTAAATCTGTTAATCTGTTACAAGCCGCAGAAATTGTTCAAGGACAAAATGGATGGGAAGATTGTATTTATCTTAATTTTATGATAGCTGCTGATAAAAGTTCCACATGAGACTGATGTGGAAACCTCAAAACATCGGAGGAATAAAAGGTAAATTATTAAAATGAATGAAATATTTTGTATTTGACAAAAAATGTAAACATACATAAGAGGAAAAATGTCCTCATAGGGAGATTTCACAAGTTAGGTGCTACAAGGATCTGTAACTGTTCCAATCATGTTTTCACTTTATATAAATGATTTGCCAGAAGGAATAAACCATATGTTTTCAGAAATACTAGGTACAATTAATAAATGGCTAAATCTGTATGGGGTGACTCTGAAAAATTGGGCAAATGGAGTGATAAATGGATGATAGAATGAGAAACACCATCTAATAAAAATGGGAGAGCATGAAATTAGGCAACACAAAGAATACAGACTGAGTGATAACATATTGACAGTCAGACATAGGCGCCTTTGAATTAAAAAAGTGTCGCCAGAAGATCACACAAAAAAAGCAAGAAATTCGTAAGCTTCTCTGGTGAATTATAAAATACGCAGCTTTTAAATTCTGAGTCAGCTAGGCTGTGGCAGATATGTGGGCCAGCAAGCTACCAGCAGCAATAGCCTAGTTGGCTAAGCAAGTGCTAGACTAGACTGGCCCAGGGCCAGGCTAAGTAGGAATACTCTTGAAACCCATCATAGGTTTATCAAGGTAAAGGTCTATGGATAGAGAAGTGTTGAAAAAGCTGTTTCAGCATACAATATACAGTACAGTGGACCCCCGCATAACGATCACCTCCAAATGCAACCAATTATGTAAGTGTATTTATGTAAGTGCGTTTGTACGTGTATGTTTGGGGATCTGAAATTGACTAATCTACTTCACAATATTCCTTATGGAAAAAAAATTCGGTCAGTACTGGCACCTGAACATACTACTGGAATGAAAAAAGTTCGTTAACCGGGGGTCCACTGTATTAGGCTGAAATTGCAGTATGCAACAGTGGTGTGATGTCCTTGCTTAAAAAACACATGGATAGTTATTAAAGGTTCAAAGAAGAGCTATAAATTGGTTGCTGTATGACCCTAATAGGTTTAGCACTTCTTTTTGATTATAAGAATAATAATAATATAAATTGGTTATCAGAGTTAAGAAAAATATGAGTTATGATGATTGGCTGAAAGCACTGAAGGTGGCCACCCTTGTTGATTGGAGGGAGAGAGGAGAGAAACACACACGGTTATAAAGGACTTGAAAAAATAGATAAAGAGGATTTTTTTTATTACCTGCAACAGGGATAACAAAAGCCCACAGTTGTAAATTGAGAAATAAGTGCAATCGAATGGATACTAGAAAATTTTTCTTCATAAATGGAGTGGAAGACTAATCAAAAGAATTATAGAGATGTAGTAAGTGCTATAACTATTGTTCATGATGAACAAGTTATTGAATTCTGAACACCAAAAATATAAAATAATGCTCGCGTTCCTTTGAGGAACAGCATCCGATATCCTTATCTACAATTTTCCTCACATGTTCAGTTTTAATATATATTCTGTCTTTCTGAAGTGATCACATGAAGCACTATATTATTTTAGATATGTTAGCAACAGGTAGTAAGGATGTAATCTAGGATAACCAACAATACCTAATGGGATGGTTTATTTTCACAGGAATCCTTGTGTTTTATACAGTTTTATATTAAGGCACATAGTGTTCTCTATTCATGTCAGATAAGTTTGATTTTCCTCCTTTTTTTTTATACTTGTCCTAAAGAAAATATGATCATGATTTTCATTACACAGGAGGAAATGGCAGGCCACGGACGACCTATTTTAGATGCAGAAGAAATGAATAGGACAGAAAGATCAGTGCTTCCAGTTGCCCTTACGAGCCGTCTGCAGACCAACACATGGCGCCAAGTGTTTACATCTCTGCGTCCTCTTGTAGCACAGACACGTCAGAGAACACTCAGTACTTACGCTCGCAGGTATATGTAATTGCTTTTTCCACATACTGTGCAGGTCAAAGATTAACACATGTCTCCATCCTCTTTAATTCATCTCATTTTCCATGTGCCCAACTGTACAAGCAGCATGTAGCACTCAATCCATCTGACAGCTGTCACTCCCTACCAACCAGTACCTATGATCAGCTGACAGTTGTTAGCTACAGTTGGATGATGTCACCAACTGACAGCTGTTATCCCAAGCTGGTTCAAGGAGGGTAACAGTTGGTCACATAAACCAGCTGTCACCTGTGGCTGGTTCATTTAACCAGATGACAGCTCTGACTTTATGCAATAGATGTGTTTCAGGCCTATGATGGCTGTACCAAGCTCAATCAGACCATCATTTAATTCCATACAATAAGAATCTGTGGTACATTTTGTGAACCGCATCCATCGTATATAGCAAAGTGTACCACCCATGTGAAATTACTGAAAAAAGTGGGATGTATTGTAATAATAAATTCACATAAATTGCAGTACTGTATGTGTAGGTCAGCTTGGTATGGTGTTTCACTTTCTGAATGATTTACATGTATTATTTTTCCAAATACTAGTTCATTTTTTTGCATCTAATTATGTATTCCAGCAGGATGCATGTACTGCATTTCAAGCAGCTCTACAGCTACTACAGAGTTTGTATAATAATTATTTACAATAATAAAAATAAAAATATTGATTATAATTGTGCGGTATTTCAAGCACAGTTATAGTTAAGACTAACACAGGGGTCTGTATTAAAAAGCTTGGAATAATAGTGATTATTAAAATGGGAAGTAAACAAAATGGCAAAATAGTTATTTTTTTTTTCAAAACACAACAAAGTCTGAATTTGAGCATGTTTTAAGTCAAGATAATGTAATGTATGACATCAGATTGAGATGTAACTTGATACAAGCTAATGTGTAACATCCATTTGTAGAATTGTTGCTTGGCTTGAATTTTTATACAGATATGAAAATAACATGTACAAGTATTGTATATTTTGTTGTACAGTATGTCAAGATTCAATGGATAGCTTGGATTTTTCATAATACAGTGGAACCTCGGTTTTTGTTTGCCTTGGTTTTCGTCGAATTCGGTTTTTAACGACTTTTTTCATCAAAATTTTGTCTCAGTTTTCGTTCATTGCCTTGGTTTTCGTTGGACTGCCGTACCAAATGTGTCTGCCTGCCCGTGCCCACACAAAGCATCCCACTCATTCTGAGTCAGTCTGGCTTTGTTTCTCGTCGAGTGAGCATTACCCTGCACGTTCATCTGAAACATTTCATAATAATCCATTGTTTTTTGTGCTTGTTTATTGAGTGCGACTGCTAAATAAGCCACCATGGGGCTTTGGGGAAGTCCATGGAGTTGGATGTGAGTGACCAGGATGTAGAAGAGTTGGTGGACGACCATAGGGAAGAACTTACCACTGAAGAGCTGCAACACCTTCAACTGGAACAGCAACAGATCGTGGCTGAGGAAATTGCTTCAGAGGAGGAGGAAGAAAGAGGAGAGAATGTGCCTTCTTCAGTGATTAAGGACATGTGTGCAAAGAGGAGTGAATTGCAAAGTTTTGTGGAGAAATATCACCCTAATAAAGCTGTTGCAAGCCGTGTCTGCAACATGTTCAATGACAATGCCTCGTCTTATTTTAGGCAAATCTTAAAGAGATGCCAGAAACAGACCTCTCTGGACAGATTTTTTGTGTGACAGGGGTCCACTGCCAGTAAAAGACAAAGAAGGGAAGTAACGCCAGATAGGGACTTGATACCTGAATTCCTTATGGAGGGGGATTTCCCTTCCAACCAATAACCTCTCCTCCTCCCTCTTCCCTCCTCGCGTCTTCCATATGCCAACAATAGTCTTCAATGAAGGTAAAAGTGATATTAACCCTTTCAGGCTCCGTGCCGTAGATCTACAGCTTTACGTTCAGGGTCCAAACCGTAGATCTACGCCATGAGCTCAGCTCACTCTGATAAGCTGTGAGCAGTAAATTTGGGCCTAGATATGAGAGAATACATCTATGTGGTATGTGTGCACCACATAAAACAAATCCTGCAGCACACAGTGCATAATGAGAAAAAAACTGAGACCGTAATTTTCGATTAAAACAGCAATTTTGCAGTGTTTTTTCGTATGTTTTTTATAGTTGTATTTGCAATTTCTTGGTCTCATTTGATAGAATGGAAGATATTTTACAGAAATAGAGATGATTTTGATTGGTTTTAGTACTGGAAATGGCTTGAAACTGAGCTCAAAGTAGCAGAAATGTTAAATTTTTGCTGATGTTCAAGAGTAAACAAATCACCTCATAAGTCTAATACATGACAGTTGGTGGGCTTAATATACATTCACAAGTGTGGGGATATTATTTATACAATTATTACAGTATAGCATGACAAAAAATCTTTTATTTTGTGGTTTGAATAAAAATTCATTGCGATTAAAAAATCAAAATGGAATTCATTTGTAAAGCCTGAAAACGTAACTAATGAGCAGAGGAAATGTTAGTTTAGTGCCAGGAATTCCTGCATTGTTTATTCTGGACCCTATTTTGAAATTGGAATATTTTGAACTTTGAATTAAATTGGACAAATTACCAATTTCCAGTTACTTTATTTTGTTGTTGAAACAGTTGACTTGGAGATTTCTTGTGCTCAATCGATAGAATAGAAGTAATACTAGTGAAAGATAAGAATTTGGTTGACTGTAATACTGTAATTGGCCTAAAATGGGAGTCAAAGTCAGCAAAATCGCCGATGCGTAAATATCGCCGACACATCAAAATTTATGAGAGCATAATTTCTTCAATTTTCCATCAAATTTCGCACTTTTTGTTTTATTACCTTCATAAAAAGATTCTCTACCATTTCATAAGAAAAAATAACAAAATTATTTTTTTGAAAATTCTTGGACCATGGTGCACTTTGAAATTTGCCGTCTGGACCCTAAAAGGGTTAAATGTTCATTTATCCATTTCATTAGTCCTTTATATTTGTTTCTCACTTTTTTCTGTATGTAAAACTGTAGGTATTCTCTATAAAATGTATATTTTGTTAATACTTTTGGGTGTCTGGAACTGATTAATTAGATTTACATTATTTCTTATGGGAAATATTGCTTCAGTTTTCATCAGACTTTCTGGAATGAATTAATGATGAAAACCGAGGTTCCACTGTATTTTATGATTTTGTAATACTTACATTTTGTTCAGACAGTGTTCTTTGATATTTCTTTCATAGTTGATTATTGTTCTTCAGTATTTGTCTATTCAGATAGGCTGCTCCATATTTTTTAAGACTGTATTGAGTTTCTGCTCAGATTCATACATGTGGGATATCAAAGGTGTTTAGTTGTTGTGTTTTGCCAGTGTGTTCTGTTTCACTTCTTCAAGAAATGTTAACATAATGAAACTAATGTTTTTAGTTTGATGGGGAAATATCTATTTTTTAATGCTTTCAAAATTAATGGAGAATTAATATCTAGTTACATGTTCGTTTATTTCCAAAGGCTCCACCAGCGACAGCATAATGTTCAGCCAAGAAGATCTCGGCAGGAAGGAGGTGTACAGCAGTCACTTCTCCACACTCGTCCACCAGACTTGCATGCTGAAACTAATAGGGAAGGAAGATCAGCTGATAGCCAACACAATGTCATCATTGACATAGAATCTGGTGACACTCCAGTTAGACATTCCTCAAACATCCCAGGCATTCCAGTTCCTCCACAGTTGTCATTTGCTGAACATGTTTCTGACCATTCTGCTGAGACTGTGACTGCTTCTTCAGTTGCCTCCAGCACAGGTGAAGGTCCTGATTCTTTTGCCGTTTCTGCAGAAACAGATCTGTTGTTATCAAATGGAAATTCTGGTGTTGCAGCTCCTGCCAGTGAAATTGGGAGTGCTGCACATACTGCTGGTAGTGATGGCACTGGTGCCACTGCTAACAGGTAATGTAATACAGTTTTACCTTTTTTATGTATTTTAATACCTGAACAAAGACAATCCACATCTCAGTGGGGAGAATACAGATTTTGAAGCCATATGACACATAAACATTCAGTAAAACTGTAATAATAATTTAGGAAACTGCAGTAAGGGTATAATTTTGGGGGCAAGTCCATATTATACAGTATTTTGGATAAGTCTAATGTTTATAGGAAATAAAGAATATATACAGTAGGGCCCCACTTATACGGCAGGTTAGGTTCCAGGCTGTCGCCGGAAAGCAGACATCGCCGGAAGGCAGTGGTAAACGAAGGGAGAGTAATGAACAATTCATGCCGAAAATTGTAAACACAAGCGGAGTGGGGAAGTGGCTGGCCCAAATGCAGATTCATACATGTTTTCTCTTATGGCTGAGCAGAGAAAACATAATGTTGTCCCTCTGGCCGGCTACCACACAGGACCACAAGTATTATTATCAGAGCACATATAAAATATGCAATAAATGCCAGACAACAAGTTTACACTAACTTATATTAAGTTAGCAATAGAAACAGACATTAAAAACACAATAAAAGGTAAGATGCACAGTACGTACACTTTTTTTTTTTTTTTTTTTTTTTTTTTTTTAACAAGTCGGCTGTCTCCCACTGAGGCAGGGTGACCCAAAAAGAAAGAAAATCCCCAAAAAGAAAATACTTTCATAATCATTCAACTCTTTCACCTCACACACAATCACTGCTTTTGCAGAGGTGCCCAGAACACAACAGCTTAGAAGCATATACATATAAAGATACACAACATATCCCTCCAAACCGTCAATATCCCCAACCCCTCCTTTAGAGTGCAGGCATTGTACTTCCCATTTCCAGGACTCAAGTCCAGCTGATAAATTAGACACATGTGCAACTCTTGGGTATCTTTACTGAGGAAACGTTTCGCCACACAGTGGCTTCATCAGTCCATACGTAGGAGAATCTTGAAGAACAGGAGGAGAATGAGGTAATCAGTCCCTCAACCTTGAGTCGATGTGGTCAGTCCATCAATCTTGATGGACTGACCACATCAACTCAAGGTTGAGGGACTGATTACCTCATTCTCCTCCTGTTCTTCAAGATTCTCCTACGTATGGACTGATGAAGCCACTGTGTGGCGAAACGTTTCCTCAGTAAAGATACCCAAGAGTTGCACATGTGTCTAATTTATCAACATGTCGGTTCTCTGAACCATTCATCTACAAGTCCAGCTATATAAAAATAACCGGTTTCCCTGAATCCCTTTACTAAATATTACCCTGCTCACACTCCATCAGATCGTCAGGTCCCAAATACCATTCGTCTCCATTCACTCCTATCGAACACGCTCTCACACGCCTGCTGGAAGTCCAAGCCCCTCGCCCACAAAACCTCCCTTACCCCTTCCTTCCAACCTTTTCGAGGACGACCCCTACCCCGCCTTCCTTCCCCTACAGATTCAAATGCTCTCCATGTCATTCTACTTTGATCCATTCTCTCTAAATGACCAAACCACCTCAACAACCCCTCTTCAGCCCTCTGACTAATACTTTTATTAACTCCACACCTTCTCCTAATTTCCACACTCCAAATTTTCTGCATAATATTTACACCACACATTGCCCTTAGACAGGACATCTCCACTGCCTCCAACCGCCTCCTCGCTGCTGCATTACAACCCAAGCTTCACACCCATATAAGAGTGTTGCTACTACTATACTTTCATACATTCCCTTCTTTGCCTCCATAGATAATGTTTTTTGTCTCCACATATACCTCAACACACCACTCACCTTTTTTCCCTCATCAATTCTATGATTAACCTCATCTTTCATAAATCCATCCGCCAACACGTCAACTCCCAAGTATCTGAAAACATTCACTTCTTTCATACTCCTCCTCCCCAATTTGATATCCAATTTTTCTCTATCTAAATCATTTGATACCCACATCACCTTACTCTTTTCTATGTTTACTTTCAACTTTCTACCTTTACACACACTCCCAAACTCATCCACTAACCTTTGCAATTTTTCTTTAGAATCTCCCATAAGCACAGTATCATCAGCAAAAAGCAACTGTGTCAATTCCCATTTTGTATTTGATTCCCCACAATTTAATCCCACCCCTCTCCCGAACACCCTAGCATTTACTTCTTTTACAACCCCATCTATAAATATATTAAACAACCATGGTGACATTACACATCCCTGTCTAAGACCTACTTTTACCGGGAAGTAGTCTCCCTCTCCTCTACACACCCTAACCTGAGCCTCACTATCCTCATAAAAACTCTTTACAGCATTTAGTAACTTACCACCTATTCCATATACTTGCAACATCTGTAACATTGCTCCCCTATCCACTCTTATCATATGCCTTTTCTAAATCCATAAATGCAATAAAAACTTCCCTACCTTTATCTAAATACTGTTCACATATATGCTTCAATGTAAACACTTGATCTACACATCCCCTACCTACTCTAAAACCTCCTTGCTCATCTGCAATCCTACATTCTGTCTTACCTCTAATTCTTTCAATTATAACCCTACCATACACTTTTCCTGGTATACTCAGTAAACTTATTCCTCTATAATTTTTACAATCTCTCTTGTCCCCCTTCCCTTAATATAAAGGGACTATACATGCTCTCCACCAATCCCTAGGTACCTTCCCCTCTTTCATACATTTATTAAACAAAAATACCAACCACTCCAACACTATATCCCCCATGCTTTTAACATTTCTCTCATGATCCCATCAGTTCCAGCTGCTTTACCCCCTTTCATTCTACGTAATGCCTCACGCACCTCCCCTATACTCACATCCTGTTCTTCACTCCTGAAAGATGGTATACCTCCCTGTCCAGTGCATGAAATTACCGCCTCCGTTTCTTCGTCAACATTTAAAAGTTCCTCAAAATATTCTCGCCATCTATCCAAAACCTCCCTCTCCCCATCTACTAACTCCCCTAATCTGTTTTTAACTGACAAATCCATTTATTCCCTAGGCTTTCTTAACTTTGTTTAACTCACTCCAAATTTTTTTCTTATTACTTGCCTTAAAATTTAATATTAATATGTGAGAGTTGAGTGGCAGGGTGTTTATTGAATAAAATCAGAATGGCACACCATCATCCTCTAACTTGGCACTTAAAGCAAGAGGCTTACGACTCCTCTTTTTATCACAGCTAAGCTTAGATGCCATCTTCAATGAGTGCCAACTAGTTAACGAAAGAGTAAACGAGAGAGAGAACGAGATACAGAGTTCAGACAATGTAAGAATATAAACTGAACAGGTAGTGGGTGATAACTTCGTCAGGCGAAATAAATGCGTATTAATATGTGTCTACTTTTAGTTCATTCACATACATTTGTGAGAGTTTGTAAAACATTTACCTCAATATCTTTTTTATTATAATAATAATTACCTCACAATACAAATACAGTGGACCCTCGACTAACGCTATTAATCCGTTCCTGAGAGCTCATCGTTAGTCAAAATAATCGTTAGTCAAGTTAATTTTCCCCATAAGAAATAATGGAAATCAAATTAATCCGTGCAAGACACCCAAAAGTATTGAAAAAGAAAATTTTTAACACATGAAATATTAATTTTAATACACACAAACTGAAGAAGACATGCACAGTTACATGACACTTACCTTTATTGAAGATCTGGTGATGATTGATGGGATGGGAAGAGGGAGTGTGTTGATGGTCTTAGTGTTTAGAAGGGGAATCCCCTTCCATTAGGACTTGAGGTGGCAAGTCCTTTTTCGGGGTTACTTCCCTTCTTCTTTTAATGCCACTAGGACCAGCTTGAGAGTCACTGGACCTCTGTCGCACAACATATCTGCCCATAGAGGCCTGTACCTCCCGTTCCTTTATGACATTCCTAAAGTGTTTCACAACATTGTCAGTGTCACCATTAAACACTTGTTCAGGTTTCAGTCCTTCACTGTCTATGTACTCCTTGAATTCCTGCACATATTTTTCAACTGCTTTTTGGTCCAAACTGGCAGCCTCACCATGCCTTATCACACTATGTATGCCACTACGATTCTTAAACCTCTCAAACCAACCTTTGCTGGCCTTAAATTCACTCACATCACCACTAGTTGCTGGCATTTTTCTAATTAAATCGTCATGCAACTTCCTAGCCTTTTCACATATGATCGCTTGAGAGATGCTATCTCCTGCTATCTGTTTTTCGTTTATCCATACCAATAACAGTCTCTCAACATCTATCACTTGCGATCTCAGTTTCGAAAACATAGTTGCACCTTTGGCAAGAATAGCTTCCTTGATTGCCGTTTTCTTGGCCACAATAGTAGCGATGGTTGATTGGGGTTTTGTGTACAGCCTGGCCAGCTCGGAGACATGCACTCCACTTTCATACTTAGCAATGATCTCTTTCTTCATATCCATAGTAATTCTCACCCTTTTTGCTGTAGGGTTGGCACTAGAAGCTTTCTTGGGGCCCATGGTGACTTATTTTGCAGGTGCAATCACTAAAAAGGCTGTGATAATATGAAATGTTCCAATTGTATGCTTGGAAGCGACCGCGGTGGCTGCCTGGCTTGTAAACACTGGCCAGAAGTGGACGCGTCTCAGACGGAAGGAATAGTGTTGGTCGAGTTTTTTAGCGCTAATTGAGGCAAAATTTTTGCGATAAAATGTATCGCTAGTCAGATTTATCGTTAATCGATGCCATCGCTGGTCGAGGGTCCACTGTACTCTTACATTGTCTACAAGTTGTACAAGTTAGTACAGAATAAACAAACAGCAGCACACCATTTTTAGAGTGAATGAAGATATTATTATTATTATTATTATTATCATAATAAAAAGCACTAAACCCACATGGGTCGTGAATTGCTATATAGTATTATGTTTTTACCACTTAAGAATACAAACGCAACAGAAATAATAGTATTTCTTACCTTAAATTGTGGGTGCTGGTGTTTGTGGATGATTGTGGAGAGTGGAGAGTTATGCTGGGGTCCTACTGGGCTGAGGTGGATGATAGAGGTTCTGGTACTGAACTTGATGGTTGTACTGGGGTGTGCATAAATCAGTCAGGTCAGTAAGTCAAGTCAGTCAGTAAATCAGTCAAGTCATTAAGTCAGTCAAGTCAATCAGTCAGTCAGTAAGTCTCACACACTCATATTTACTCAAACTGAATCGTGTTAAGTTAATTTTATGAAGTGTTATACAAAATTATGCTGCAATTCTTCAGTAGTGCTATAACCAAAACGTGCCAAACAAAACCGTGTTAAACAACGGTCTAGAAGAGAATATTTCATTTCTTTTTCAGGTCACCCTGGCTCTATGGGAGACAACTGATGGGTTAAAAAGAAAAAAATGACATTCATTGAATTTTAGATCTGATACTGTAGTGTAAAAATGTTTGCTGGGAAATATGAGAGAAACTTTTACACCTACCATCCGACTTACGACCTGCTCGACTTACGACCACTCGACTTACGACCGTGTTTTTTATGCCAAATTTCTGGGAAATAAACAACTATTTGTGTTGTACACAGTGTTTATCCTAAACCTTACAGTATAAAATACAGTACTAACAGCATAAAGTAAAACATGAAATACCAAAATAAAACAATAAAATAAAGTCATTACAAAAATGTTTTGTTGATATTCAGTAGTAAAATTCGACTTACGACCATTTCGACTTACGACCGGTTTCTCGGAACCGAACTCGGTCGTAAGTCGGATGGTAGGTGTACTACGTTCATCAAGATTAAATTTTTTTTATTACAGTAGCCAGCCACCTTTTGCGGCAGTTAAGCTCCATAAAAATGTACATGATATGTATACAAAAATGTGGTAGGTAGAGCAAATGTATGGGAACATTAGGTTTCATGCAATGAAATCTTTTTCAAGGTGTCATGGCACAAATAAATATCACTAATTTTTTTAACAGTTTGTTTCTTGTTGATCTAGAAATGTGTGGAGAGGGTTCATGTTGCACTGCTAGGTCTAGTTGCATGTAATGAAGTTTATACTTTGTTATGTGCAATATTTGATTAATGGATTGTTCAAGGTGAAATTTACATGCAGCCTCTCCTCACTTAGTGATGTACTCGTTTACCAGTGACTTGGGCTTACGACAGGCTCTCTGACTAGAATGCATACCTAAATATGTATAGAGTGAAGGCATACGAAAAGAATATTTTTCTACAGTTATCCCCCAGTTTGACTAGAGAAAACGTATTTCTTCTGACACTATACATAGCCGCTTTGTAAACAAATCTCATATTTACATCAATTTTTGTTCTGTGAGTGTATGTATCATGTTTATATGCTATGTAACGGGTTTCATATGTAATTTTGAGGAAAATATCATAGATGGATTAATGAAAATGCCTATATTAATGTAAAATAAGACATTTAGTGTGCCCAAGAGTGATTATTATTACATAGTATTGGCGTCATGAGTAGAGAGACTTAGCGATTTTAATGTGTACCTGCACACCAGCACAGTGTGTAAGTATATTTAGGTACAGGTACACATAAGTATAATTATCAGAGTACATATAAAATACGCAGTAACTTTAAAGCACTTGAAATTTTGGAAAGTTTCCTGACATAATAGATGTGGTCACGGAGAATGTAAACAAACCGGGTGGGGCGCGCCGTATTTGAAAGACCGCTTGCCATATAGCAAATTTTGGTCATAATTTGACATCGCCGTATTAGCGGAACGCCGTAAGGCAAAATGCCGTAAAGCAGGGCCCTACTGTATTTTGAAATGATAAACAAAAGTAATAATAATAATTACAGGGAAAACGGGAGGTGGTGTGTTGAGGCAACTGTGGAAAGAGGGAAGTTTCTCTATAGAGACAAAAAAGGGAAATATACCAGAGTATAGTGATACCAGCACTTTTATATGGATGTGAGGCAAGATTTAAACACTGCAGTGAGGAGGAGGCTGGAGGTAGTGGAGAAGTCATATTTGAGAGCAGTGTGTGGGATGAATATTATGCAGAGAATTTGGAGCATGGAAATTAGAAAATGGTGTAGTGTTACCAAAAGCATGATTGAGAGGGCTGAAGAGAAGTTCTTGAGGTGGTTTGGGCATATAGAGAAGATGGAATAGAATAGGATAGTAAATCTGGGGTGAGAGGAAGGAAGGGAAGGGGTCATCTTGGAGATGGTGTGAGGGAGGAGGGTAAAAGTGTTGAGTGCTAAGGGCTTGAACATCAAGCATCCTTGCATGAGCATGATAGTTTGATGTGCTGTTGGAGTGTGAACACAGTAACATTAATGAAGGAATTCAGGGAAAACTGGTAAGCCAACCTTAATCTTGGTTAAAAATTTGAGAGAAAAAAATTGAATATGATATAGTATTAGTGTATTACTTGACCATGATTTGCCATTTTCTTTGATAGGAGTGAGGGTGAATCCCTGACAGAGCTGCTTAATCAGTTCCCAGAGGTTCGTAGTGGACTCCTGGTTGCTTGGCAGTATTGCACCTTTTTCTTCATAATTCTTGCCAAAGCTGTCTTTGATCATGTAACAGGTAAACAATTTGCATGTTATTCTTGAACTTTATATTATTTTTTCTGTCTTTTTAATTTATATTCTATATTATAGCATTCTTGTGTCTTGTTGTTTATTGCAGCTTTACTCTACTTCTCTCTTTCCAAACAGAACTTAATCAGTAAATATGGAGGATGAAATCCCATTAGAACTAAATCAGATTTGTATGACACTTATTAATTTAGTGCTTAATCAAGTTCTTCAAGAGTAAATTATCAATAAAAATAATTGCGTATTTGAGGAAAAATTTAGCATTTATAAATATGAATGTATTCTTGTTCAGTATACATATTTATAGATGGAGTTGTAAGAGAAGTGAATGCTCAGGTGTTGGCAAGAGGTGTGGGGTTAAAAGATAAAGAATCTAACACAAAGTGGGAGTTGTCACAGTTGTCCTTTGCTGATGACATTGTGCTTTTGGGAGATTCTGAAGAGAAGTTGCAGAGGTTGGTTGATGAGTTTGATAAGGTATGTAAAAGAAGGAAATTAAAAGTGAATACATATATAGGAAAGATTAAGGTGATGAAGATAACAAAAAAAATTAGGAAATGGAAGATTGGATATCAGATTGGAGGGAGAGAGTATGGAGGAGGTGAAAGTATTCAGATATTTAGGAGTGGATGTGTCAGCAGATGGGTCTGTGAAAGATGAGGTGAATCATAGAATTAATATGGGGAAAAAAGTGAGTGGTGCACTGAGGAGTCTGTGGAGACAAAGAACTTTATCCATGAAAGCAAAGAGGGGAATGTATGAGAGTATAGTTATACCAACACTCTTGTATGGGTGTGAGGCATGGGTGGTGAATGTTGCAACAAGGAGAAGGCTGGAGGTAGTGGAGATGTCATGTCTGAGGGCAATGTGTGAAGTGAATATAATGCAGAGAATCCGTAGTTTGGAGATTAGGAGGAGGTGCAGGATTACCAAAACTATTATCCAAAGGGCTGAGGAGGGGATATTGAGAATTTTTGACATGTAGAGAGGAGGGAATGAAATAGAATAACTTTGAGAGTGTATAAATCTGTAGTTGAGGGAAGGCGGAGTAGGGGTCGGCCTAGAAAATGTTGGAGGGAGGGGTAAAGGTGGTTTTGTGTGCTAGGGGCTTAGACTTTCAGCAAGCGTGTATGAGTGTGTTAGATAGGAGCAAACAGAGAGAATGAGTTTTTAGGACCTGTGCTGTTGGAGTGTGAGCAAGGTAACATTTATGAAGGGATTCAAGTAAACTGGCAGGCTGGACTTGATTCCTGGAGATTGGAAGTACAGTGCCATCACTCTGAAGGAGTTTTATAACTATAGTATAAGCATGCCTCTGGCAAGACAGTGATGAAGTGAATGATGATGAAAGTGTTTCTTTTTTGGGCCACCCTGCTTTGGTGGGAAATGGCTGATGTGTTAATAAAAAAAAAATATACTACATGTTACAGTTTTCTCAACCTCCACATTTTTTTTGCATTGGCTTCTGTTTTACTGATCAGCTATTTTCAAGAAAAAGATATTTGCAGAGCAAACTTTAATTGTAATACAGCCTTTCTTCACTTAACGACGGAGTTCCATTCCTAAGACCATGTCATTAAACGAATTTGTCGCTAAATGAGGAGCATACTATAATGGTAGTGGGTTTTTGTCAGCCATCTTTGATATTGTTTTAATGTCACCTTTGTACTGTTTATAACATTTCTGGTATATTTTTAAATGTTTATACAGTAGTGTACTGTATATTGAAATAAACAGAATAGAGGAAATCTGCTCTAATATACATTATTTAGGTATAAATACTGGTCAGAGAGCTCGCTGTAGTCCGAGGCCTCGGTAAATGAGTATATCGCTAATTGAGGAGAGGGTGTATAGCATTACCCTGTGTACAGCTTTATCAAGTTAGTGGCTTTATAAAATCAATTGATTTGATAAAACTCTATATACAGCAAAACATTATCACAAAAGCTTGCTCTGCACCTCTCTCTCTCTTCATTACTATCTGTAGCATGCCTTGCTTTTTTTTCTGTTTTCATTTTCTTATCAGATTTTGCTCTTTGCCTTTCTGTGCAATTAACACAAATACCACTCTCGGGACATGTTATTAGGAAATGTTTCATTCAGTTAGAACATTTTCATTCATAAGAAAGAACATTCAGAAGTGTAAAATGACTTGGATGCTTGAAATCCAGCATATTTTCAGTGAAATCTTTAGGTAGGTTTTTAATTTAGGAGTCGTTAGGAAAACCAAAACAAAATGGGAACCTCAGAATTTTGAAGTTATTCATGGAAGACCTTTCAATAAAAATGTTAGATAATCGATAACTGCTAATTAAAGTGAATTGTATTAAAGTACTGTGAATATGGAGGGCTGATTATGAATTTATAAGAGGAAAAGAGATAGACCTCAGTGGTGAGGCAGATATCTCGGTTGTCATTGAAATAAAAGGGGTAAAGGAGGTTTTGAGTGCTAGAGGCTTAAGTGAGTGCTATTAGATAGGAGTGAATGGAGGTGTAAGTGTTTTTTGTGACTTGATGTGCTATTAGAGTGCATGCAGTGTAATATGAAGGGATCCAGGGAAACCAGTTAGCTGGACTTGAGTCCTGAAGGTGGGTAGTGGTACCTTGCACTCTGAAGTTTGAAAGGTCATCTCGATTATGATGTCAGCACACTAAATGATGGCAGCTGAATGAGTGATGGTGAAAGCGTTTTTCTTTTTTGGGTCGCCCTACTTCAGTGGGAGATGGGCTATCATGTTAAAAAGAATTAGTTTGCATACAATCTTTAAATTAAAATCATAAATAATATAAGGGAAAGGCAGAAAATTACATAGTTCTTAGTTTTAAATTTTTTTCCCTTCTAATGGAAGTATTCAGTCTACATAAATTAATCATATAACATATCAATTTTTACAGGACTGATGGTCATCTTAACATTAATTATTGGATTTATGTGGAGCAACAACATTGTGAAGAAGGCAGTAGCACAACAGGGCAGGCGGCCTATCAAACCACTTCTAGCTATGCTAGTAAATCTACCAGCTGGTGTCTTCTTTCTATACTACTCATACCGAAATGACAAGTTGTTCTACAGGTAAAGTAGCCACTAAAAGTAAATGTTCTTGTCACAGAAAACAAAATGGAATTAAGTTACACTTAGGTTCAGCATAAGTCATTATGGCAAAAATGACTTGCTTTTTTTTTTATTCATTGCATTATTAAAATATTTGTTGTTGCATTTGAAATCTGCAGTTGTAGTAGACTCTTGGTAGGCATAGCAATGTGTCTGAACCATAAAAAACTTGAGCTTGTTAAAAAGTTTGGAAGGGGGAGTAAAGGAAGGAAGGTGAAATTAGTTTTCCAAATTGCCAGGCTATGAGAATAAGGAAACAGTGATACAGTAATGAAGGTATTTTATCCAAGTGAATGGATGATTAGGATCTTCATGCTTTAAAATTGACTTTTGTGGCAATTGCTATATTGGTAGGTTTCATATTAATAGCTAATTGGATAGACCATATGATTGTGGTTATTTTTATGCCAGTTTTTATGCTAAATCAATAAGAGAAAGCGAAAAAGTTTATGAAATATGCAGTTCAAAGAACAGAAGAGAAGTTGTAAGATAGCAGGTATGTACTATATTGCTGATAAGTATGGTAGGAAAACACTTGATGCAGAGCATACCTTTATTATACACTACTTTGCTTTGGGTATACCTGATATGATTTGATAAAACTTCATTTTTTTTTATTATCACACTGGCCGATTCCCACCAAGGCAGGGTGGCCCGAAAAAGAAAAACTTTCACCATCATTCACTCCATCACTGTCTTGCCAGAAGGGTGCTTTACACTACAGTTTTTAAACTGCAACATTAACACCCCTCCTTCAGAGTGCAGGCACTGTACTTCCCATCTCCAGGACTCAAGTCCGGCCTGCCGGTTTCCCTGAACCCCTTCATAAATGTTACTTTGCTCACACTCCAACAGCACGTCAAGTATTAAAAACCATTTGTCTCCATTCACTCCTATCAAACATGCTCATGCATGCCTGCTGGAAGTCCAAGCCCCTCGCACACAAAACCTCCTTTACCCCCTCCCCCCAACCTTTCTTAGGCCGACCCCTACCCCGCCTTCCTTCCACTACAGACTGATACACTCTTGAAGTCATTCTGTTTTGCTCCATTCTCTCTACATGTCTGAACCACCTCAACAACCCTTCCTCAGCCCTCTGGACAACAGTTTTGGTAATCCTGCACCTCCTCCTAACTTCCAAACTACGAATTCTCTGCATTATATTCACACCACACATTGCCCTCAGACATGACATCTCCACTGCCTCCAGCCTTCTCCTCGCTGCAACATTCATCACCCATGCTTCACACCCATATAAGAGCGTTGGTAAAACTATACTCTCATACATTCCCCTCTTTGCCTCCAAGGACAAAGTTCTTTGTCTCCATAGACTCCTAAGTGCACCACTCACCCTTTTCCACTCATCTTTCATAGACCCATCCGCTGACACGTCCACTCCCAAATATCTGAATACGTTCACCTCCTCCATACTCTCTCCCTCCAATCTGATATCCAATCTTTCATCACCTAATCTTTTTGTTATCCTCATAACCTTACTCTTTCCTGTATTCACCTTTAATTTTCTTCTTTTGCACACCCTACCAAATTCATCCACCAATCTCTGCAACGTCTCTTCAGAATCTCCCAAGAGCACAGTGTCATCAGCAAAGAGCAACTGTGACAACTCCCACTTTGTGTGTGATTCTTTATCTTTTAACTCCACGCCTCTTGCCAAGACCCTCGCATTTACTTCTCTTACAACCCCATCTATAAATATATTAAACAACCACGGTGACATCACACATCCTTGTCTAAGGCCTACTTTTACTGGGAAAAAATTTCCCTCTTTCCTACGTACTCTAACTTGAGCCTCACTATCCTCATAAAAACTCTTCACTGCTTTCAGTAACCTACCTCCTACACCATACACTTGCAACATCTGCCACATTGCCCCCCTATCCACCCTGTCATACACCTTTTCCAAATCCATAAATGCCACAAAGACCTCTTTAGCCTTATCTAAATACTGTTCACTTATATGTTTCACTGTAAACACCTGGTCCACACACCCCCTACCTTTCCTAAAGCCTCCTTGTTCATCTGCTATCCTATTCTCCGTCTTACTCTTAATTCTTTCAATTATAACTCTACCATACACTTTACCAGGTATACTCAACAGACTTATCCCCTATAATTTTTGCACTCTCTTTTATCCCCTTTGCCTTTATACAAAGGAACTATGCATGCTCTCTGCCAATCCCTAGGTACCTTACCCTCTTCCATACATTTATTAAATAATTGCACCAACCACTCCAAAACTATATCCCCACCTGCTTTTAACATTTCTATCTTTATCCCATCAATCCCGGCTGCCTTACCCCTTTCATTTTACCTACTGCCTCACGAACTTCCCCCACACTCACAACTGGCTCTTCCTCACTCCTACAAGATGTTATTCCTCCTTGCCCTATACACGAAATCACAGCTTCCTATCTTCATCAACATTTAACAATTCCTCAAAATATTCCCTCCATCTTCCCAATACTCTACCTCTCCATTTAATAACTCTCCTCTCCTATTTTTAACTGACAAATCCATTTGTTCTCTAGGCTTTCTTAACTTGTTAATCTCACTCCAAAACTTTTTCTTATTTTCAACAAAATTTGTTGATAACATCTCAACCACTCTCTCATTTGCTCTCTTTTTACATTGCTTCACCACTCTCTTAACCTCTCTCTTTTTCTCCATATACTCTTCCCTCCTTGCATCACTTCTACTTTGGAAGAACTTCTCATATGCTAACTTTTTCTCCCTTACTACTCTCTTTACATCATCATTCCACCAATCGCTCCTCTTCCCTCCTGCACCCACTTTCCTGTAACCACAAACTTCTGCTGAACACTCTAACACTACATTTTTAAACCTACCCCATACCTCTTCGACCCCATTGCCTATGCTCTCATTAGCCCACCTATCCTCCAATAGCTGTTTATATCTTACCCTAACTGCCTCCTCTTTTAGTTTATAAACCTTCACCTCTCTCTTCCCTGATGCTTCTATTCTCCTTGTATCCCATCTACCTTTTACTCTCAGTGTAGCTACAACTAGAAAGTGATCTGATATATCTGTGGCCCCTCTATAAACATGTACATCCTGAAGTCTACTCAACAGTCTTTTATCTACCAATACATAATCCAACAAACTACTGTCATTTCGCCCTACATCATATCTTGTATACTTATTTATCCTCTTTTTCTTAAAATATGTATTACCTATAACTAAACCCCTTTCTATACAAAGTTCAATCAAAGGGCTCCCATTATCATTTACACCTGGCACCCCAAACTTACCTACCACACCCTCTCTAAAAGTTTCTCCTACTTTAGCATTCAGGTCCCCTACCACAATTACTCTCTCACTTGGTTCAAAGGCTCCTATACATTCACTTAACATCTCCCAAAATCTCTTTCTCTCCTCTGCATTCCTCTCTTCTCCAGGTGCATACACGCTTATTATGACCCACTTCTCGCATCCAACCTTTACTTTAATCCACATAATTCTTGAATTTACACATTCATATTCTCTTTTCTCCTTCCATAAACTGATCATTTAACATTACTGCTACCCCTTCCTTTGCTCTAACTCTCTCAGATACTCCAGATTTAATCCCATTTATTTCCCCCCACTAAAAACTCTCCTACCCCCTTCAGCTTTGTTTCGCTTAGGGCCAAGACATCCAACTTCTTTTCATTCATAACATCAGCAATCATCTGTTTCTTGTCATCCGCACTAAATCCACGCACATTTAAGCATCCCAGTTTTATAAAGTTTTTCTTCTTCTCTTTTTTAGTAAATGTCTACAGGAGAAGGGGTTACTAGCCCATTGCTCCCGGCATTTTAGTCGCCTCATACGACACACATGGCTTACGGAGGAAAGATTCTTTTCCACTTCCCCATGGACAATAGAAGAAATAAAGAACAAGAGCTATTTAGAAAAAGGAGAAAAACCTAGATGTATGTATATATATATATGCATGTGCGTGTCTGTGAAGTGTGACCAAAGTGTGAGTAGGAGTAGCAAGATATCCCTGTTATCTAGCGTGTTTATGAGACAGAAAAAGAAATCAGCAATCCTACCATCATGCAAAACAGTTACAGGTTTTTGTTTCACAGTCATCTGGCAGGACGGTAGGTCTCCCCTCATTATTCGTCTAACAAGTGAATGTAACTTGAGAGTCTTCAATCTTTCTTCATAAGGAAAATTTCTAATGCTATGTATTAATTTGGTCATCCTACGCTGAATGTTTTCTAACGAATTTATGTCCATTCTGTAATATGGAGACCAGAACTGAGCTGCATAATCTAGGTGAGGCCTTACTAATGATGTATAAAGCTGCAGTATGACCTCTGGACTTCTGTTGCTTACACTTCTTGATATAAATCCCAGTAATCTATTTGCCTTATTACGTACGCTTAGGCATTGCTGTCTTGGTTTAAAGTTGCTGCTCACCATAACCCCCAAATCCTTTTTGCAATCTGTATGGCTAAGTTCTACATCATTTAACTTACAAGTACAGTGGACCCCCGGTTAACGATATTTTTTCACTCCAGAAGTATGTTCAGGTGCCAGTACTGACCGAATTTGTTCCCATAAGAAATATTGTGAAGTAGATTAGTCCATTTCAGACCCCCAAACATACACGTACAAACGCACTTACATAAATACACTTACATAATTGGTCGCATTCGGAGGTAATCGTCATGCGGGGGTCCACTGTACTAGGGTTATGGGCACTCCCAAGCTTCAGAACCTTGCATTTATCTACATTGAACTGCATCTGCCACTTTTCTGACCAAGAATAGAGTTTGTTTAAATCCTCCTGAAGTTCCATAACATCTACGTTTGAATCAATTATCCTACCTATCTTTGTGTCATCGGCGAATTTGCTCATATCACTAGTAATTCCCTCATCGTTCTCAGGGTCGGCCAAATTTAAAAAAAAAAAAAAAAATTCTTATGA